ATTTACAAAAGTCAAGTTGCGGTCTTTGGTTTGGGGACTATCCATTTTACACTTTTATGTTGCATTCCTCTTCCCAGTGGCGTCACTAGGCTGTTTTAGTTGAGATATTATTTAATTAGCCCCGAATATTTAAAAAAAAAACAAAAAAAAACAAAAAAAAAAACATCTGTCTCACTTGTATTCATTTTACTCTGAAATAATTTGAATGGGACTTTAGATGTCTGGGAATAAGCAGCACAGCAGTCAGGTAGTTATTTAAAGCTATAATAAATTGCGTATTTTGTCTTTTTAGGTAAAGCATTATGACATTTTTTGCATGCGCAATAAAGCATACAAAAACATTTGCAGCGCGCACATTTGCCATTTCTCTCTGGGCTAAGCCCCGGATGTTTCAGAAACCTAGAAACGCCCCTGCCTCTTCCCCTATATAGATGACTGTTGAGTGTAAACATTTAATACAGAAGTTACTGAATGTAGAAGCCTGAAGACACGGATTCTTCCACTCAGAAAGGAGATGGCCTCAGCCTGCAGAGTTGCCAGTTGAGACATTTTTATTTTCGAAACATACTTTTCTGTCTTTTCTCTTTCTCCCAACTGCAACTCTATATGCAACCACGTCTTGCTTTAAAAATCATGTCCACACACCCTTTTGGCCCCATCGTGTACCCCGCCTGCTCCTACCCTGCACGGACAAGGGCAAAGAGGCTAATCCTGGCTCTGAGGCCCAGTACGCTCAGCCAGCTCCCCGCCCTCTCTCCTCTGTCAGTATCCATTTGGTCTAACACGCTCGCAGGCTGTCGTTATGGACACCAGAGAGAGGGGTGGTTCTTTTGACCTCTTTACGTGAGGAATCAGTCAGCAGCCTGTCTCTGAATCATCGCAAGAAGACCTCTCAGAGCTGCCAAAAAGCATACTTACGAGCACATCCCCGTAGAGAAGAGTCACAATACAAGAGAAAATGTAAAAGCGAATCATGGGTCGCCATCTAAAATTCTGATCATTCTTGTGGGGCAAAGCAAAGGTTGAACTCCATAAAAAACTGGACTTGATTAAAACAATCTGTCGGGGGTCCTGGCCCGGCGCACCATGACAGTAATATAATAAGCTGCATCTTTAATGCAATAAGACTCAAGCTGGAGAAATTGCTTCTCTTCTCTGAGCCCAGACTGTTGTTTCAGAGCCAGCAAAAAGTACTTACATGACTCAAGTTGACCCCTGTGCTAGCGGGGCGGCCGGAAGAAAAAACAAGCAAGAGAAGAGCAGCCGGGTTTGGGGGGGGAGAGGGAGAAGTCCATCTTTACAATGTGAAAAAAATATTCTCTGAACATTTGAGAGTATATGCCTGGCCTTTTCGGCAATGTCAAAGACATGTCTTCAATACGTAAACATGTGAAGGAGCAGAAGCAAGGAAACACGGATCAGGTTTGCACGATTCTCTTGAACTTCTTCATCTCCTGAAAGCACTTCAATAAAGCAAAGCCAGGTCAACAATAATAGTGGCAAGACAGTTTTTTTTTTTGTGAGGTGAAACAGCAGCTCTAGAGAAATAAAACTCCAGAAAGTGTCATCAGTTCATGCATCGGTGATTCTATCCTGCCAACTCTCTTCAACCGATGCACCATATTGCGTGCAAGTCCGTGTGCTTGTTTAGTTGTTTTAGAAAACTCCCCCCCCCCTTATTCAAAAAGAAAATTGATCTTTGCGTGTCCAAACAAGTCCTATGCCGTAAGTCGAAAATTGATTTGTTCTCCTTCTCTGTCCTCAGTAGTTTTCCAAAACCTAAAATTGAGAAAATGAGACACCAGGGAGATGACACTGCGTATGACCTTTAGCTCAGGCTGCATAAGAATTCATTGGATCAGAGAAACCCATATCAGCGGAACCCTAACAACACAGGCTTACAGGGGATCTGCTCGCTGACTACAGCTGTATTCTGGTGCAAATGTAAATGTTAATAATAGAGACAGTCCTGGAACAAAAGATTTTACATATGGAAATATATATACACGTTTTATATACATAAATATCAGAATACTCTGTGTAGACCCAACAGAGGCAGAAACAGTAAGGGGAATTGCAAAAAATATAAATTTTTAATTCTCCAGGCTCCTCCGCACATGCGGAAGTATCTGTTCATGTTGATTTTGGCAAACCCTGTGGAACAAAGCAGTACATCTTATCTATATTCTGATCATGTTATGACAGAAATATTTCAAAGCAGAAAAGAAAATTAAGATTTCTTTAAACCGTTAAAACTTAACATTCACTGTGTAAAATGTAAACAACCGCTGCTTCATAAGTGTTCTGTTAATCGCTTTGTTTGACGCCGAGGCAGCGTTAACAGATATTTAAAATAACTACCAAATACCGATAATATCGGCCGATATTAGTGACTATTGGTATCGGCTAATTTGATCGCTGATTTGTTCACCAGTCAAATAGCATTTCATTTGAGTAGCGCTGAATTACATTAGCAGTTCTCTTTCTGGCTGTCACCAGCAGAGGGCGCTAACTGGATCACAACGAGCATAATCGGCCTCCAGAGCGTCAAGCGGTGAAGCACGTACATGAGCAGTTACTTTCTCGTTGAGTTACCATCTTGTCTACCTTATACTGCATATCCTTTCCATGAGTGTTTAATCATTGCATTTGAGGGATCAACACAATAAAAAAGTGTATATCTATAGCTATCTATCTTAACAAATTAAACACAGTTCAAGGAAAGATATCGGCCGATATATCCTTATCAGATTTCCCCCCCAAAATCCCATATGGGTCATGACCCTAACCCTAAGAAATAATCAAACTTTCATTCATAGATGGGAATGTTTGCTGTTGTAGGTCATACATGCATCAGTATTAATGTAAGTTAGTTTCATAACTAGCTGAAAACTCCTCATAGGAGCTTTAAAGGGACTAATTAAGGAAACAGTGTTGTAAATTAAGTTTAAAAAAGCTTCCACAATGATGAATAATGTTCTTGGAAAACCTCCTGATGAAAGCCAACCCCTCATATTACAGATGGGAGGAAATTTAATATCCTGTGGCGGTCAAGAAGGCCTTGCCTCTATAGTTATAATTCTGATAGCAAAGTCCAGTGCACATACATCGCCAGATACACTGAGTGATTTAATACTTGGTTATATGAAGTCAGTGTAGAAGCAAATATTACCAAATAACAGTGACTGTTTTTCACTTTCAGAGGAGTCTGCAGTGAACCGCACTAACTTAATGACAGAAGGACAATACGCTAAGTCAACAAACTGTCTTTGAAGTTAGCAAATCAACAATCTCCCTCTGTTGATTAAATGAATAAATATGGCTGTGAGTATATTTGTCTGTGTTCTCTTAGAGGGGGCTGCCTAATTATGATTCCACTGGCAGAGAAGCCAGCGCTGCAGTCTTAAAGTTTCCAGGCATTGTGTTCTCCTCAGATAATAAGACACACAGACTGAACTCCTGTTGTAGCCACCATAATGAGTCCTCCTCTCCTTCCCTTGCTCTCTTGGCTTTCCCTCCCTGCCTCCCTCCGTCTGTCTGTCCATCCCTACAGAGCCTCTAATGGAGCCCGAGGTTTGTCTGGGGATTTTTGAGCAGCAGTTGCCTGAGCTATCGACTGACAACTAGCCATCTATTTGAGGATAATAAGGCCCACTTATGCCAGAGCAGATAATGTAGACGTCTACAACAAACGCAAGTAGTCCTCTGACAAGCCAAGAGGCAGGCTGAGTGTGATGCCGTATGATAAGTTGCTTTTATCTTTGGAAGTATAGCATGTAGTGTCAAAAAAATGCTTGGATGTTGGTTCAAAAGGAAAGTAGTTAAAGGGGGACTTTGATTGAAGATGTTCCAACCTGACAGTTTGACTGCTTGATTAAACTATCAGGAACATTTAATGTATGTAATTGTGATGTAATTAGTCCAAATGCATCAGGCTATTTTTCTTTTCCAGGTCTGACAGTTGCTGACAGTTTAAGGCCATTGGATGATGAGAATCTGGAGCACATAAGCCATCCTTCTAAGTACTTTATTGATGCAACACTTAATTTAAATTGCTTGAGGTGTCAATATTTAACACACACTTAAAAATACAGTCTAAGCAGCCTCTTGAAATTGTCCTCTAGATAAAAATAATGATATGTCTCGTGTGTGTCTGTAAGTATTCCTAGCATGCCATGGGATGATATTTTTTCAAGTGAGGAGAGACTTTTCCCTTCACTGTCAGCAAGAGAGAAGTGTGAGAAAAGTGACTGCCGAGGAGGAGAAAAGAAGAAAACAAGAGAGGTGATGGAAATAATCTTTTGCAAAATGAGTGGTATGCTTTTCTAATTGAAAACAAGCAAAACTACAAGAAGCAAACTACAAGCCAAAGGCAAAAATCATCAGATGAGATAATGAAGGAGGATGCAAAGAGGAGTGAAAAATGGGAGTGTGATGAATATTTCTGGAGATGGGGGTTTCCGTTCAGTGTGGTGGGTCTGCAGAGTCAATCTTCATCAGCGATTCCATCTTTGTGCGTGGCTTTCGCTGAGGCGGGAGGGAGAGGAGGAGTAGTAGGAGGAGGAGGAGAAGCAGACCAGAAAGATCAAAGCTGACTAAAAGTGAGAATCAAAACTGAACTATTACTGTAGCCTTACAGTAGAATTATGCATGTGATACTATTCCTGCACGCAGTAGTAATCGGCCTTTGCTTTGATGGTATTAAAGTCTGCCTTGGTGCTAAACTGGAGCCGAGGGTCTGGCAGGGGATGTGGTGGGGGGGGGGGGGGGAAGAGAGACAGAAGTGAAGATTGAGCAGGGAAGTTAATTTAAGTTGGCAGGGAATAAGGTTTAAATGGCGCTTTTGGCTCTATGGAAAGGGAAGGGCAAATAAATGAACCTGCAATGCTGGATGACGAGATGAGTTGGGAAGACATGATGCGACTCTAAATCGGCATCATTGCTTTAAGGCAACCAAAAAAAAAAGAGAAAAATTAGAATGGAATCTAAACTGGACTTACGACAGCCTTTCTCGTCGCTCTTGTCAAAGCAGTCAGGCAATCCGTCACACTGCCAACCACCTGGGACGCACTTCCCATCTCCGCACATGAAGTTTCCGGGGATGTTACACTCGGTGGTGAAGTTATTCCCTGGGAGCAGCTGGCTCTCTGAAATGAAAAAAATGGAGAGAATGATGTAAGAAGAGAAGGTGAGAGGAGGGCAACAAGAAAGAGAACAGACTATTAGAATAAAGAAACATGTAGAGGGATAATGCATTCAGGGGATATTTATCATCACAGTCTAAATGAAAGACTAGTATATTTTCATTCTCTAAAGATAGAAGATATTACAGTGAATGGTTCTATTTAGAAAGCAGACGAGGTCAGACAGGGATGATAGAAGTATTGTGGGTGTAATACTCAGTTCAGAGCTGGACAGGTAAGGATAGATAAGGATGCAAAACTCCTCAAACAACAAACAAAGCCCATCTTTATATTGTGGCATGAAATGAACAGAAATAAAGACATTCAGAAGAATGACCTGGACTAGTTTGGGGCAATTTAGGTTGACACATTGCAGCTGTGGTATACTGGCCCGGAATGTGAAGCATGGACTTTTGGCTGAGATGTGACACTTTGTGGTGAGCAGCTTAGCTCGTAAACAAACCTTTAGGGCAGTAATGAGGAGTTCTGTGCTGGCCAAGGAACCTTTTATAATGCTGCAGAGCTCAAACTGGGTTCATCTGGTTTGCCACTTTATCAAACTTGAAGGCAGGACTCAGGGGGTGTACCTGATGCCAAGAGCTGGTCCTTTAAGCCCAAAGTGAGCGAACTCGGTCCCAAATTAGAACCAAATTAGAGTACCCAAAAAACATGGTAAATCTTTCTTATTTCATTTAGGTTCACATTAAGCAACAGTGTGTTTATAAGTTCACATATGAGCTAGTGTGTATGGCTAAAGTTGGAACAGTGTGAAAAAAAAATGGTAAAAAATTAAAATGTCAGGCTTGAATATCAAAAAAAAACTTGACAAATGGGAAGCAGCTGTAAGTCATGATGAAAATTAAATCCGACCAAATCTTAAAGAGGTCATATTATGCCCTTTTTAGGGTTCATATATTTAATCTATGTACCTACTAAAGTATGTTCACAATAGCTAAAGTCTGAAAAAAGGGTCTGTTTTCATGTACTGCCGCTCCATGCACCAGCTCACTCTCTCTAAGGCTCTGAAGTGTCCACATTCAGAGTCCCCACGTATGCCAAGTCTGATCTGATTGGTCGGCCTATCGGCTCTGCCGTAATTGGTCAGTCGCTCAGCACAGTTCTCGGAAATGTCCCGCCCCTTTTACCATATTGGGAATGCGTCCGAGGGGAGCATAAACATTAGCACCTTAGCACTACTGTGCTACCGCAGGCTACAGCATATCGTGGGCGTGCTACAGAAGTTAACGGGCGTGCAACATGAGCTGCAGGGCTTGCCACAACGAGCCAATGGGCTTAGATCAGTGATCTCACACTGACAATGACGTCTCACTGACAAATTTGTTTTGAGGGGGGCTAGAACCGAGCGTTACATGCAGCTAATGCTACAGCTAACAGGAGGAGGTAGGAGAAGCAGCGTTTCCGCAGACTTTGAATTTTTGCACATAGATGTGCCTAAACATGCACAGGACACTTGGAAAACACACTAAAGAGCATATAAAACCAGAAAAAGCATAATATGACCCCTTTAAGGGCTGCAAAGCTGAAAAGACGGCACATTGCTTGATGTTTGGAGATTTCTAATCCTGAGTGTGTCATCAGCCAGAATTTGAAGCACCTAGCTAGCATACAGCACGAGAGCCAGGGAGAGCTGGCTACTCTGAATTTTCTTTGAAACATCCATATTTCATTAAACCATTGAGAAATATTAATATTCTACAAACCGCACATATCATATGGACATTTATATTAAAAGAGGATACAAAGCGCTTCAGTTCTTCCAGTGTAAAATACAAAAACAGACAAACTCTGGACCACCCAGCATTCATTACTGAGGAATCCAGCTCATTGAGATACAAATGGATATATTCGACCTTTGGGTACTTGTGAATTCACAACCACAGCTTCTATGAAGTTAGTTGATATTCACTAAGTAGATGAAGTCAGTTCCTAGAGTACAGCTGAGTGACTGACACACAGAACTCGTCTGTCCTTACATCATCCCCCCCTCATGTTGCCCTTTTACAGCAGCTCAGGTGTTGAAATCATGTGTAGATCCCGTCTTCACCGAGATGGCACGATTCTCATGATCTCCTGTGGGGATGATGCAAACCTGTCTTTTGTCTCTTGCAATACAGGAAGCCGAACGTGAAGGGTAAACAGATAAGACTCGGGTAATTTATGAATGGAAAGTATTCCAATGATCAGTTCTGGTAGGGATGGGAGGATCCAGAAGTACATGGATAAAAAACAAGTTATACATATTAGGGAGAAATACCTTCATAAACTTTGTGCTGAAATCTTAGCTCATTTTTCCATTGTTTGCTATGATATTTCAGTGAATAGAATAAAATCAATCCCAGTGGTTTCACAGATACTTTTTCTTTCAGACAGCTCCTCACCATTGTGATCCCCTTGGATATCTAGCAGCCATCCAGGTATTTTTCATAACTACCAAATGTCAATTTTGTGTTATCAGTCTAAGAATACACCACCTTCTATCCACATTGTTCTCTGGTTCTTTTCTCTCCCATCCTTGTTTATACAGTTCTTTTTTTTTTTTGACAGAGAGAGCTGTTCAAACAAGCACACTTTGAGAGAAAAAGAGAGAGAGAGGGGCGGGAGAGTGGGGAAACAAAAATGACACAGTAACATTAGAAGATGAAGTAAACAAAGACCTTTTTTCAAAGCTTTTCACAGTAAGAGAGGCCTAAAAAGGGGCATAAGTACGATTTTACAATTTGGATAGGAAAATGTACTTCTACTGCTTGTCTCAAAAAAGATGGAATGGAGTTGTGCACACTGAATGATTCAAAAGCAACATACATGTTTTGCCATGATTGTGATGGACAAGGATGAAGCTTATACCACTTACTATAGAATGTAAAGATTGCTGTTCTTTTGTTTTAGACCTCTTCTTAACTTTACACTAAAGCTGTAACATTTACACTTGTGTCTTGACTACAACACTTCCATGAAGTGTCTGATTTGGAAAGCACTTAACTGCTGACATTGTGCTAATTAAGAGTTATGTTAAACTCTATGCCAACACCAGTCGTTTTCTATCATTAGATGATAGTTAACCTTCTCTGCCTTTCAAAATAAATGTTGCTTTTCACAGCCCTTATATGTGTAATTGTTGTGTAAGCTATGATTTAGAGAAGGGGGCCACTAATATAATGAATCATGGTATCTGATTGATGCATTGACCGTCATTCATGAAGGTACTCAACACTGCAATTTAATGTTCATTTTCATCTACCTAAACAAAATACTAACATGTCAACGGGGCTTCAGATGCACACAGAGCGAGTGTGGAAGGCAGCCACGTGAAATGACTTCAAAGAGCTGACGGCTGGAAAGGCATCAGGTTAATTGGAGAGCTGCTTTGAGAGAATGAGAGAGAGAGAGAGAGAGAGAGAAAGAGAGAGTATAGAGAATGTTAGGACTCTGGTGTGTGTGTGTGTGTGTGTGTGTGTGTGTGTGTGTGTGTGTGTGTGTGTTTGAGAGATGCCCAAAAAGAATAAAGAAAGAAGGTTGACTGACAGCTCATCTTTTCCCATGAGTCTCTAACACGGCCAGAAGCTAACACAAGCACTTCTTGCAGCCAGGATGTGAGTTGGCAGCTTTGACACGTCTTATTTCTATACCCTTGTTGTCCTATCGATACAGTAATAAGCCAGAAAACTTATGGTGGTTAACCGATGAGGTAACAAACACGCCCGCTTCATTACCACAGTAAGTGTGGCTGTACAGCTCATTACAGCCGGCTCTGTGTGCTTGTTAACAATATAATAAGTCACCACAGTTCTCTGTGAGCCCTGCAACACTCCTAAGGTGACCTGGAGAATTTTTTAATGGACGTGGCAGTGTCAGTGCACAGCTCCTCATTCCATATGCTTTTAACTATAATGTTGTGGATAGCTGGGGGCGTTGTGCACAGCTCCAGAACACCGCTGTGTACAACTGTGGTCACACAGTGGGTGTGTGAGGAGGGACTGGAGGAGATAAGGGAGGGACGATGCTGGACGCCTACGTAGTTTGCTTGGGGAAATGTAGACCAATTACTCAGGATAAATATTGACTTTATTATCCTTTGGCTTTGCACACACTTCCACCCGTTCCCACCCTCCACCATGCCTGCGCCACCTAAAGCCCTATTAAACTGTTAAATCAGAAAGGGTCAAATCTTTCTGGTACGCTGAATACTAGATACTTTTTAATTAGCATTTACATTTTTCAGTTTGAGCTACTTCCAAGAAGTTTTAATGGTTCACTCTGGGTAAAATCCTTCCCTCTCTCTATTTCAGCGCAGAAAAGTGCTGCGACTGTGCATTGCCTGCACTTCTCTTACCTCAATTATACTGTGAAATAAAAAATGAACTCCCAGCATAAACGCAAGTCTAATTTCCCAGTGGTTTTGAATAATACTCAATCAAATTTGGATTTATTTCTTTTTTGCAATGTTTTCTACAGGGAAAGTCTCCCCTAATGCAATCTTTCCTTGTCTCATGTAGAATATAAGTGGCATGCAAAATGAGCGAGACTGCTGGGCTGTGGAAGAGTTTTTGCAGAGTATAGGGATACTAATGAAAGTTAAAATACCTCATATCAGATATGTTTTAAGAGACGTAAAAAAATGTTTTACTTAAAAAAAGAAATGTTTTTCCAAAGTAGTTCACTAGCCCTGTTGAAAATTCTATAGACTACTATGGCTTGCCTAAGAATTGCTGTAACCGGAGTTGTAGCATACAACAATGACATCACTTGCTTGTCTCTTTAACAATGGCTGCTACGTCCAATGATGACTACCACAGTAATGAACTCAAAGTTTCTGTTCCATATAGAATCAGCACAGATTGGTGGAAGTCAGATTTCACTTAACATGTACTGAAGTTAGATAGTTGACCTTCAGGATGACGACAGAGGAATTAAAGACGATTTCATTATAATTTAAGATGGAGCTA